TTTTACAGGAAAATGCTCCTGCCCATCGTTTTAAAGAAGTATGAATCTAATAACGCTTTTGACCGTAATCTGACTTTATAGACAACGACCAGCCTCTACACATGTAGCTTTCAGTCAATTTTTATTTCTGACAGCAGCGCGGATCTCAATACCATCAAAAGTCCTTTCGCAGTTATCAAAAGCCATTGGCATATGGCGAAAAGGGAAGTTTAAATGCAAAGGAAACTTAATTTTGTGCCAGAAAATCACATCGAACAGTCCATTGTAGACAACTTGGCCATCTTCATGTTCGAGAGACTTTCTGCTGGAATAAATGCAAATGGGCAATCAACAAAGTATTAATCTTCTGCTTTTGTCATTAGTTTTCGTTATTTTTCCCGTTTAATGCGTCCCCTTCATTATGCACCCGTATAGTTAGCCCTATTTAAACAATTTGTAATATCATCATTTTTTGAAATTCTAGTGTTCAGTAAGGATTAATTATTTTTGCGTTAGCAAATAGTAATTTAACATCTCAAGTTTGCCTTCTTTTTGAGAATAACCGTCTTTTCACTGCCGTAAGACTTTAGGGAACACAGGTCGAGAGAGAAAGAGAGGAAGTCGCTTTAGTTTAAAATTCCACATTCAAAATTTTGTTGCAAAAATGAGCTCCATTCCCTGTAGACAGAAGATAAGATAATTTTTTACTCAAGAGTCAAAAAGTTTTAGACAAAAAGGAACGACGGTTATGGGGACAGTTAGAGTCTTAGCTTCCGTGTTTCAGTCTCTTCACACGAAAGATAGCGCGCCAGGAGTGGCAATACTGAATGTTGACATGCCGATGTACGACAAGAGATAAGTCGAAAGCCACGGTGCATGGAGCAGGAAGACTTCATGGAGGTCATTTCACAATGCAGGGGATGAGCAACGTCATCCAGAATTCGATCAGTTAAACGGCTTGACCGTTTTGAAATGCCGTTGTAGGATACTATTGACTAAAAGGCATAAGAAACGCCGGCAGCAGAAGAGAGCACTCGGAGGACTCGTTTTAAAATTAACAAATATTTTTTAATCAAACCAGGAAAAGTAACAGGATAACACTAAATAATGAGAGGAAAAATGAGGGAATTTATAGATCACCAGACTAAGGGTTGAAGTGTGTGATATGAACGCAACCGACGAATGTAATAAAGAAGTTACGAGCTCTAGTGAAAAGAGACTCAGTATATAGGGAAAATGAAAGATTTGATGACAAAGTTACGCCAAGGTACTTGATAGAGGATTTTGTGTTATAGGGACTTTTTGTGTTAACTCATGGAATTCCGTGAGCTAGCATGCCTATTCTGAATATAACACATATTACATGCCTGTGTATGTGAAGATGGACATCACAAAAAACACACATTAAGAGAAATTAAATTTTTAAACAATGCCGTGAAGGTATTTTGTAGACTTTTGGCGCTGGTCTCCCAAACCGTCGTCAGACGTGTAGTTAATGGGCAGAACGGTAAAAATCTTAAACCTGCTCGGGCTGCACATGGGAATATGGATCCCCGTTCCGTAGATGATCCCGCCCCAAATTCCAGTCAGGGTTAGCCTTGGGGTCAATGTCAAAGTTAGGATAAGATTTAGAAGGGTTAGGACTTGAGTTATGATTGGGCTGAAGGCCAAGGAGGTTAGGAGTAAGGTTCAACGTACGAGGGGGGAGACAGGAACCTCCCTGGGTCACCTGTAGTACTGGGAAGCCAATAATTTCGACTCCGGCCCACGCTTAAAAAATCAATACTTATCTGTCGTTGCAGCCAATGGGCGATTGCTATGGGATGTCATCTCGCTCTGATTGGCCGTCGTCTTTTCAACTTTCCCCTGCGATTCTTGATAATGCCGTCTGCTTAAATGCACCGATTTATTCCTAATTCATCGGAGTGTATGGCCTCCAGAAGTTCTGGGCCCACTTTAGATGCACAGACACCGGCAATGCGACCTTTGTCCCAGGCAAATGTGTGTCCCTTTTACAGCGTATCTATGGCGACTTGCGATAAGTGCATGCATGAATAATACTTACAAGTACATACGACCTTTCGACTGTCATGAGCGACGACTTCGACTGCATGTCCCACAGAAAGTGCGCGGCAAAGGTGACTTACACGTAGATGTGGTTGGTGGTGACGCAGACTTATGCCCACTCTCCCTCGCTTCCTCACACACCTTGCTACGATGGCCAGGCAATTTCAAGACGACTGCAGGTTGGCTCGGGCGCATTCGGTGACAAATCGTAACAAACCGGCCACATCTGTCACATAATACTAGTCCCAACAGCCTGTACCGGGTTTCTGTGAAAACCGCTCACATATTATGTCGGCGAGAGAGCCATAAAGCCAATATCAAATGGGGAATCATCGCAGCCTGACTCTCAGTCACTTCAAAATACTTGTGATGAGGACCGGACTGTCTCGTCAGTTGGGAATCTTCCGGACTAGGACTCTTAGCGCGTCCTGGTGCATTCAGAATTGGCAGATTAATTGCAGTGAGGAATGCGCCGATTTGTGTTGACGATGGACGCCTCGGGGTCGGCCTCATTCGTTTCCAATACACTGACCGGCCGCCCTAGCCTGCCAACTAATAGTAGTATATGTAGTCAGAATGGTATTACCGACAAAGACAAGGGAGACCGTCGGTAATACCATTCTGCCTATATATCATGCGCCGCTGTGCGGCTGCTGGTTGGGCTCGAGAGAGAGCCCTTAAGGCCCAACGGAACGAGTGAGTTCCGTATGAACGATCGGTGAGCGCCCCCTATCATAGTATATGTAGTAATATAATAAAGCAGGCGCATAATATACTCTTGCTTATAAACCTAAGTTTATTACATTTGAAATTGGCGTAGAAGTTTTTGTATGTACTAGTTTTAGAATAGGTGGAACTGGCCAGCTGGACTCGATTTTGATCAAGGGAAGCAGCCAAGTCTTAACGATTCTTGAGCGAACCAGAATGAGTTTGGTTAATTTTAAGGCTGTCGAAATTTGGTCGAAATTTGTCCGCCGTCTCTCATGCAGACTTGGCAACGCGCAAGTGACCACCTAATGTGACTGCTTAACTGTGCTGGTGGCTGTTGCTAATGCATTCATGCAGTGCACATACAGCACCAAAAAGAACACGTGTCATTACAGCGCTTGCCATTCCGCTCACATTTCAGACAGGACACATAAGACAGACCGACCGTCGTGACCTACAATGTCCACCGTGTGCTGCACAGCAAGGTGGGAACAGGTACGAGAACTTGCACGTGATTTATGACGATGGTAGACTTGCGCAGCATTCAACGCACCCATTCCTCCTTCCCCCTCCCGGATCCCGCGCCGAGACTAAGTCAGGAAGACCGTAGGAAAGAGAAGATGCAGGAGACTGCACGGCGAAAGCCCGTATCTTGAAGGACTCTCTCTCTCCTTCTGATCCACAGTGTACATCTGACCAGGCTGTAAACATCAATAAATAATGGACACGGTGTGAGCACGCACATGGATGTGCCATCACAACCCCAATGTTGGCATTTTTTGTGGGTACGTGCTCCCAATATCGCCTGCTGGACTCCAACTTAGCACCCGTTTTGGTTCACTGCATCTTCCCCCTGGCCCTTTTTAAGGGCATGACAGGGTACACAACACTCACTTTATTCCCCCGACTTCCGATGCTCTCGACTTCAGACGGTGTTCACATAAAGGTCACGAAGGCGCAGAACTTCTGAACCCCGGTTAATTGTCCTTGGTCCCCGAATTATTCTGACAGATGACTCGAATTACGATTCGCCTTGTCATTTCTGCGGACGATGAGTGATAGGGGTGTTATAGTGAACAGAAGAGCTTGTTAATCCGAGATATCATACTGTCTCGGGAGGCGACAAAGCGAGCTAGCCAATCAGCTCCGATCTTGGCTGTGATTGGTCAGCTCAGTCATCGTGGCAGTAGTCAATCAGGGGACTGGGCTGCCTGACCGCTAAGCATTTTGTGGAAAGACTGGAGTTCGACGCCTATTTTTTGCCTGATTTTGATCCGAATCTCAAGCATTGATCATATCGTGGGCTCTCTATCATTCGATTGTCAACGTAGCGGCAAAACCGAAGGACTCTGTTCTATGCAGAACATTCAGGAAAGATACTTGGTTTTCCTGTTGAATAAGTATTTTGCGCTCATCCGTGTGTTCGAACGTCCCTCCTATACTTCAGAATGACTCCTCCCCGGAATGTGTATCCTCTTGTCGAGTCGTGGCAGAAATGTACGTTCAGTCAGTAGTACTGTCCTATTTCAGGACGAAGGAGCATACATTCTCTTCTACCGTTGAAGCGATGTAGTAGGTGGAAGGATATATTGTCCTAGTGGCCAGCAGGACATCACAGCCCTAATAACCACGACCTGAGTCAGAGCCCTTGCATTTGAAGTAGGGGGGACTACCAATGAGAGGTACGCATTCCGTGCAGCATGACTGTAGTGATTAACGACAAGTAACACCCACATCTAACTCAAAGGCAACCGCATATACAGTTAGTGATCAATATTATGAAGTGTTAACGGAAATGCAGAAGTATGTTTCGATTAGCACAGATTACTTAAGTGGAGTTGCAGTACTGGTTATCATACATCATAATCGCAATATATTGCAGTCACCTCAGGATGCGTGCTTTTGAATAGGCTTCATTCTGGTCGCCTACAACAGTCACATTCTATAAAAATGATTACTTAAATACAAGCATTTTCCATGGATTTTTGACGCCCTTACAAATTGAAACATGTTCATTTGCGGAACGTAATCAAAAGTATCCGCTCTCGTCTTCATTTAGTAGGAAATTATGTCGTCTTCAAGGAAAGGGTGTCATCCGGTTTTAAGGAAGTTTTATAATTATGAGGTCTGTTAATTTCGTGAAGTGTCCATTCAAACAGCATCTTTTTTGTCAGTTTAGAAGTGTTTCTTTTGAAGCACATAACACAGTCCACATTAATGCTAACAATTTATGAGCCGCCTATGAC